TTCTATTTAGAATTTTATGAACGATGTTTAAATGTGTTGTATCCAGATTTGTGTAAAGTTTACAGATAACTACAATGTACTTCTCAAACTTGTGTTGAGAGGCAGCTGTTGTAGAGAATGTTGAGCAGGTAAAAGTTCTTTATTGCCTCAAGTAAGCTTGCAGTTGAACAAAGTTAAAACTGATTTCCTTACTACAAAACTCAGGACCCTCTTTTTAAAATTGAAGTACAGTCAATTATAATGTGTCAATTTCTGGTGTACAGCTTAATGTCCCAGTCATGCTTATACATAACATATATTCATTTTCATATTTTCATTAAAGGTTATTACAAGATACTAAACAGTTCTCTGTGCTATACAGAAGAAACTTTTTAAAATCTATTTTTATATATAGTGGCTAACATTTATAAATTTTAAATTCCCAAATTTATCCTTTCCCACCCCCTTTCCCTAGTAACTATAAGACTGTTTACTATGTCTGCAAGTCTGTTTCTGTTTTGTAGATGAGTTCATAGTGTCCTTTTTTTTCTCGATTCCACATATGAGTGATATCATATGGTGTTTTTCTTTCCCCATCTGGCTTTACTTAGAATGACAATCTCAAGGTCCATTCATATTGCTGCAAATGGCGTTATTTTATTATTTTTTTATAATGAGTATTATTCCATTATATAAATATACCACAACTTCTTTATCCAGTCATCTGTTGATGGACATTTAAGGTGCTGCCATGTCTTGGCTATTATATATAGTGCTGTTATGAACATGGGGGTGGATGTATCTTCTTGAATTAGAGTTCCCTCCAGATATATACCCAGAAGTGGGATTGCTGAATCATATGATAGGTCTATTTTTAGTTTGTGCGGAATCTCCATACTGTTTTCCATAATGCACCAAATTACATTCTTACCAACAGTGTAGGAGGGTTCCCTTTTCTCCCCAGCCTCTCCAGCATTTATCATTTGTGGACTTTTGAATGATGACCATTCTGACTGGTGTGAGGTGATACGTCATTATAGTTTTGATTTGCATTTCTCTGGTAATTAGCAATATTGAGCATTTTTTCATGTGCCTATTGGCCATTTGTATGTCTTCGCTGGAGAATTGCTTGTTTAGGTCCTCTGCCCACTTTTAGATTGGGTTGTTTGTTTTTTTGTTATTAAGTTGTATGAGCTATTTATATATTCTGGAAATTAAGCCTTTGTCAGTCACATCATTGGCAAATATTTTCTCTCAGGACTCCTTAATATACAAATACATATCAAATCTTTAAGATTTGGCAAGTAGTGTTTTTTAAGCTTATTTGACCACTAATGTACCATTGAATAGTTTGTAAAACACTAGCGTACATATTTAAAATCATGTTATGTTGTACATAGATAGTTAAGTAGCTTGTCATTATTTGATTATTATCCTGATGTTGTCATTTTAAAAAATTTCTCCTCCTGTCTATCCTTTTCTATTACACTTTCTTGTTTCTTTATATTCCTCATACATATATATAATATATATATATATTATATGTATGTTAAACTACTAAAATGACCAGATTTTGAATTTGCTATGTTTCTCTGTAGGTATGTGTTTGTAAGACTAATAAATATTTTCAGTTAATTATGCCTTTGTAATAAATTATGACTTTATTTGTACATGTTAATAGCATTTGCAAAACTTGCAAAGGAGTGCAATGTTTAGAGAATCACAACTGTTAGTTGTATTTTGGTATCTTCCTAATTGAGTTTTGTTTATTCCAGAAAATTTAGAAAATATAGCTAAAGGAATAACTAGCAGACTTTAAAATCATTCAGAATTGTGCCACTCAGATAATTATTAGCATCTAATTTTTTAAATAAAAGTAATACTTATACATGGGGAAAAAAACCCTCAAACTGTATTGAGAGATATAATATGAAAGCCTCTCTACCTCCCAGCTAACCATCCCTATCCTAAATCATCAGGACTTTTATCCTCAGGTAACCACAAATGGTTGTTTCCCAGGTGTCTTTTGTGATTTGTTTCTTGAATACCCTTTGTTGTTTGTTTATATGCATGACAACGTAAAATATATACCTGTTTTGTACTTTGGTTTTTTCATTTTGAGATATTTCAGAATGAGAGTTTGAAGGTCACATGATACTCAGCTGTAAATACTGTTAGCACTTTGTTATATTTCTTTCCATGTGTATCACTTGTACAAGATTATGAAGGACAGGATGAGTCTTGCTTGCACAAGTCAAAATTCCCAATGAACATTTTAGTATTTCACTATTTATGCAATTTATATGGTGATTTAAATCCAGGCTTAAAATCTGACTTAAAAGTCATCCAGGTAGTGTGACAGATTTTTTTCTAGATTTGTGAACTTATTTTAAGCCCTATTAGAATATGAAAATTAAATCATTTTTTGAAATACACTTAAAAACCTTCGCTGCAAATGATTAAATGAAAACCATGCTCTAATATAATTTTTAAATTCCATCCCGGTAACATAGGTCTAGAAATCAGTCAGCAAGCCAGATGGAGAAAGCTACTTTTAGTAGGTATGGGATCGAGAGTTTTTTCTTTTACTCCTTAGATAATGTGTATATAGGAATTGCAGTGTTTTCTTGGACTGTGCTTTTCTTTTACAACTTTGATTAAACCAGAATTAGGAGAGATTACACTATTATCATTAATTGAATTTTGGTTATCTGAGGGATAATCAGTAGACCTTCATATTGCTGTCTCTTCCTTATTGTTGAAAATCTTCCTGATTTCTATCAATATCTTTTCTTGCTTTAGTAATTAAATACTTGTTTGTTTTCTACTTGTCCGTGAGAAAATCATGTCTTAATTATCTACCCCAGTCCCTCACATGAGGATGGTCAGACATAAAATTAAGTGCACAGTAAATACTTGTTAAACAATTTTGTTGAAAATAATCTGATTGTTTTTGGATTTGGCATGCAGTGTACTAATTTTTTTTCCTTTAAACTGAGCTTTTACCATTATGTTGTTTCAGGTACATGTATAAAAATTCAGAAAACATATATTAATTAAAAAGCAAGACATTAGGACCACAAAAGACCCCCCAAAATAGCCAGCAATCTTGAGAAAGAAGGAAGCTGGAGGTATCACCCTCCCAGACTTGAAGCTATACTACAAAGCTGTAGTAATCAAAACAGTATAGTACTGGCCCTGAAGCAGACATAGAGTTCAATGGACCAGAATAGAGTCCAAAAATAAACCTATGCTCATATGGTCAATTAATCTATGACAAAGGAGGCAAGAACATACAATAGGAGAAAGATGGTCTCTTCAATAAATAGTGTTGGGAAAACTGGACAGCTACATGCAAAAGAATGAAACTGGACCACTTTCTTACACCATTTACAAAAATAAACTCAAAATGAGTTAAGGACTTAAATGTAAGACCTGAAATCATAAAACTCCTAGATGAAAACATAGGCAGTAACCCTCTTTGACATTGGTCTTAGCAGTATTTTTTTTGGATATGGCTCCTCAGATAAGGGGAACAAAAGCAAAAATAAACAAATGGAACATCAAACTAAAAAGCTTTTGCACAGTGAAGGAAACCACTAACAAAATGAAAAGGCAGGCTACTGACTAGAAGATATTGGTGAGTGGTAGATCCAATAAGAGGTTGATATCAAAAATATATAAAGATCTTATACAACTTAATATCAAAAAAGCAAACAACTGATTAAAACATGGACAGAGAACCTAAATAGATATTTTTCCAAAGAAGACATACAGATGGCCAACAGGCCTATGAAAAGATGCTCAACATCACTCATCATCAGGGAAATGCAAATCAAAACCCACATTGAACCACCCCACACCTGTCAGAATGGCTATTAGCAAAAGGCAAAAAATATCAAGTGTTGGAAAGGGTGTGGAGAAAAGGGAACCCTCCTGCACTGTTGGTGGGAATGTAAAGTGATGCAGCTACTAGGGAAAACAGTATGGAGTTTCTGCAAAAAACTGAAAATAAAACAACATACGATCCAGCAGTTGCACTCTGGGTATTTATCCAAAGAAAGTGAAAATACTAATTTGAAAAAAAAAATATATATATATATATACTTCTATATTCACTGCAACACATTACAAGGGCCAAGAAATGGAAGCAACCTGTTCATTAACAGATGAAAGAATAAAGATGACATGGTGTGGATGTGTGTGTATATCTATACATGCGCGCACACACACACATACATACAATGGAATATTACTCAGCATAAAGAAATTGAAATCTTGCCATTTTCAGCAAGATGGATGGACCTGGAAGGTGTTAATACTAAGTGAAATAAGTCAAACAGAGAAAATATTACATGATTTCACTTATATGGAATCTAAAAAACAAAACAAGCAAAGCAGAAACAACCTCATAGATATAGAGAATAAACTGTGGTTGCCAAAGGGAAGAGGGGTGTGGGGGACAGATGAAATAGGTAAAGAGGATTAAGAGGTACAGACTCCAGCTACAAAACAAATTTAGTCATGGAGTGTAATGTGCACATAGGGAATATAGTCAATAATAGTGTAACAACTTTGTATGGTGACAGGTAGTAGCTAGCTGGTCTTACTATGGTTATCATTTCATGTATAAAAATAACAAATCACTATGTTGTACACCTGAAACAAATATAATATAGTACATTATAACTCAATTTTAAGTAAATAAATGAAGGAAAAGATAAATGTTAATATATAATAATTTTGAGTTGTTTCTACATTGTAAATATAGTTATTGTAATGGAATGTATTTTTAATTAAAAATTCAAGAATTCCATGCTTTGATAGATTGACTTGTTTAAGGGCAGCTGTAAAACTTAAGAGCATGAGGATCATACATCCATGGCTAAAGTACTTCTCTTCCCTTCTCCTTATCTAGTACATTTTTTAAGTATGCTTTATATTTACATAGTTTATTGTTTCTTATGGTCTTTTGCTAGAGAGAAAGGTATTTCTTTGAAACATTTTTGGTTTATTTATAGATTGGTCAAAGAAAAAATGATGTATGAAAAAGAAGCAAAACAACAAGAAGAAAAGATTGAAAAAATGAAAGCCGAAGATGGTGAAAATTATGCTATTAAAAAGCAGGTAAAATTATATGTTAAATAATTATAACTAACATTTGCAGAATACCATATTAACAGTGTATTAACAACCCTCTGAGAAGGTCCTACTAAAGGTCCTATTAAACCTCCGTTTAAAAATGAGACTTGCCATTTAAAAATAAGGAAACTGAAACACAGCTTAAATAACTTGCCGTGGTCACACAGCTGCTCATGGCATACCTGAGATTTAAACACAGGCATTCTGTCTCTAGAATATGTACTCTTAACCATTAAGCAGTACTGCCTCTCCGGTTTTAAGTATTAAATATAAAAATGGCCTAATCTTAATAAAAAATACCTACATACTTAAGTTTACAGATATTGTCCCAAAACCATATTGAAGATCTCCAAAATTATACACACACACATGCACGCACACACACTGTACATTTCAATGGCTACTTCTGTTTATCCTCATGACAAATTTCGTTCTCCTTAGCATTGCATACAAGGCTTTTCTTGATTTTGATACCTGTTTAGCATTCCAGCCTCATCTCTTGCCAGTCCCTATCTGGATCTTAGGTGCTGCCTTTTAGTTTCCTGAACAAGCCCTATCTCATTTGTCTCTGAGATAATTGCATATGTCTGGGATGTTCTTCCTACCTCTCCTACGTATCCTTTCCTAATTATTCCCTACTCATTCTTTAAACCTCCATCCCAGCACCGAGTTAGGTGCCCCTCCTCTGTGGTTCTATAACACCTTATTTATTCCCATCATAGCATTTATTGCATATTTACTCTTGGTTGACACTTGTTTTGTAATTCCTTGAGAAAATAGAGGCTTTTGAGGGAACTCATATTCCCACCACAAAATCTATCAACTTACCTTCATCTGTACCCATACTACCTACCTTCCTTCCTATTAGAATAGATTATGTGCCCTAGCCCTTGTTACAACCATCAGTGACATCATCTCTTCTTTGTCACATCTTACATAACCTCAACAGCTTCTGACACAAGTAACCACTCTTTCCTTGAAATGCTCTTTTATATTGGCATCTTTAATAGAATGGTCTCCTGGTTTCACTACCTTTATTTCTCAGTCTCCTTGCTGAAACTCTCCCTCTCCCGTTTCTCCTCTCTCTCTTTCTCTCTTTAAATAAATAGATAAATAAAATTTGACCTTAGGAATTCTATCTACAATCCCTTCTTAGGTAATCTCATACCATCCTATAACTTTTAAGTACCATCTTTATGCCCATTCATTTATTCATTTAACCGATATTTATTGCATCTCTGCTATTTGCCAGATACTCTTCCAGGCAGTCTTTTAGACATGGCATTAAAAACAACCCAGAATTTCTGCTTACTTGACATTCATTCTGGTGCCGGTATCTCCCAGATTTATATCTCTGGGCCTGACCACTCCAGATACATATATTCAACTAATCATCTATTTAACCTATCCCTTGTGTGTTCAAAATAAAAATCTTGGTCTTCCCTCAACGCAGTTCACTTCCCCAAAACAAGAAGGTATTCCTTCTCTTATTTACCCTCCTCTTAATAAATGTTACCTTCACTTACCCAGATACCCAAGCCAAAATTTTTGGGTCTCCTTTTGATCACCAAGTTCTGTTTCTTTTTCCCTCTATTTCTTACTCTACTGCCACTATCCTAGTCCAGTCCACTGTCAATTCTTGCCTGTGCTATTGCGAAAGCCTCCTAGTTGATGTACCTCTTTGTCTCTTGATAACCCTCCATTCCTTTCATACCACAACAACCAGGTGATCTCTTTAAAATGTACATCACATCACTTGTTCCTTTACTTAAAATTCAGTGTTCAATTGGAAGTCAAGACTTCTTTTTAAAATCAGCTTTATGAACTCAAACGGTGGTTTTCGTCATGTAAATTATGTTACAAATGGTAATAATGCATAGGTAACCCAGAATTAATTCTTAAAATGGATTAATCACTTTTTTTTGGATTAATCACTTATAATGAATTTTTCTTTGGTACAAAAAGAGTGTGTACCTGAAATGTTTCCTTCTTTGGGCTATCCAAGAAGGGAGCTTTTTTAATTTCCTGAGCTTCCAAGAAAGCCTGCCTTCCTCTATGTGTGATATAGCAAAGGACATTTGTGTGTCAGATATTCTTAAATTGGGGGAGGATTTGTAAACAAGTATGTTGCTATAGTATGTCCCCCAATATGCTGACCTTTATGAATTAACTGCTCTTCATAATGTTTTACCAATGGAATATAAGTTTTTGATTCTTAGAATTATGACGTTAAATGCTTTTTGAATATATACTTCCATAAATATTCATGTCTTTCATGTCACATTTGTACCTCTCTCATTTTAATGTCCTCATTATTTTCCCACATCTAATGAGAAACATTATAACATGGTGTATCACTTATTTCATCCAGATACTTCTTGAACCCCATCAGGCTTGTTTTGCATCTTGTGTAGCTAGTGACCTTACTTAGTTTTTTCTTTGCCCTGTTCTTTTCATCACCCATAATGTATTTTAAAATAGCCCTATAGCTAGAACATGAATTGTAAGTTACATGGAATGGGAGCAATGTTTCCTTTCTAAATACAATTCTACAGATTGATAATGTCACAGATGACCACAGAATCTGTTTTATTTCATTGGTATTTATACATTGATCATCTTTAAGTAAAATCACTACTTGATAGGTAAGAATTAACTCTTTTTTGAATCCTGTGTTCTAATTGCTCTTTTAAAATATTAGCCACTTACTGGTTATATCATTGACTACATATGCAAGATGTAAAAGGAAACTTTTTTTTCAAAAGCCGTTTCTACACTCAGCCATGTTAAAATTCTTTTGTCACAGTGGTCATGGTTTATAACATGATTTCCTAGTTTCATAGTCAGCCAAGTACTTAAATTCAAGAATACCATCCCATATCTAATTACAGAATGATAAATTTTTCTGTTTGCTGCTATTCTGTATTCTGTACACCTGCAATGTATACAGTTGTCAATTGCAATTTTGTCCCAGTCTTAAGAAAACTTACCTTGTCTTAACCCCAGCGTACATGCTTTTCTCGGTTCCTTTTCCTAGCTTAGCTGTTCGGTGGCCAGCCATTCATGTTTTATATTATATGCAAGGGGAGTTGCATTGCCAGAAGCACTGCTGTGTTCCTAATTGCCTACTACTTTAAGGTCAGCAGTTGTTTCTCGACATTTGCTGATGCCCCTCATAAAAAATACCTAGGAAGCCTAGTGCCAGATTTTTTGGGTTCTCTACTCTCCCTGTATTTCCTCCTCTTCTGAGATAAATGCCATCCTCAGTCACTTGTCACTACCTTGGCTCTTCTCTCACTTGGTTCCATTTAGCTCTGGCTTTCCTAGCTCTTCTGAACTAGCCCCGTGTTATAGCATACACATACGATGCTGTCTTTCGGTCCCTATCAAACTTCTTACCTGAAATTGATTACCAAAATTGTTCTCTCCAGGACTAGGCCCAGTTTTGGTTCTTTAAAAATGAATAACTAGGCAGAAGCTTCAGGACGCTAATAGGCCAAAATACCGGTCAGTCAAAGTGTTATTCTGCTGTCCTTCCTTTTCTGGCTGCTGTATAAATGCAATATTCACATATTGCCTAAATGCTGATTTTAGCCTTCTGCTTATTATATTCCTCTTTTCCTCCAACTTCCTCCAAGAGTGTTGTATAACATGGTTTATAAATGGTGTTTTTTTTATACATTTGCTTTTTTTGTTTTTTGTTATAGACTCACAGAAAGATACAAAAAATGTTCAGGGAAGTCTCATACACCCTTTACCATTCCTCCTACAATGTAGCATCTTGCATAATTATATTATAGTATCCAAACCATGAAACTGACATTGCTATACTACAGAGCTTATTTATATTTCAGTAATTATACATGTACTCATTTGTGTGTATGTGTAATTCTACATAATTCCAACACATGTGTAGCATGTGTAACTACTACCACAGCCATGATGGAGAACTATTTTATCACAAGACTGCCTTGTGCTATTTCTTTATAGCCCCTGTCCTCTCCACCCACTAAATCCTAATTAACACTCTTCCAAGAATGTTGGAATGGAATCACACAGTATTTAACCTTTTGAAATTGACTTTTTCCACTTAGCATAATTTCTTGAGATCCATTGAGGTCACTGAGTATATAGTTTGTTCCTTATTATTGCTAAGTAGTAGTCCATGGCATGGATGTACCACAGTTTAACCATTGAAGGACGTTTGGATTGTTTCCAGGTTTTGGATGATATGAAAAAGGCTGTTGTGAACATTCATATACAATTTTTTATGTGAACATTAACTTTTTTTTTTTCTGGGATAATTGCCCAAGCAATTTCTGGGTCTTATTAGTACATTTTTTGTTTTAAGAGAAACTACCACCCTCTTTTCTGAGTGGCTGTACCATTTTACATTCCTACCAGTGATGATTGAGTGGTTCCATTTCTCTGCAATCTGACTAGCATTTGGTGTTAACAGTTGTTTTTAGTTTTAGCATTTCAACTTCTATGTAACATGTGAGGTGGGTTACATGGATTAATTTTCAATATTGAGCTAGCCTTGCCTACCTCCTTAATCACTTGATTGTAGTGTATTATTCTCTTCATTGCTGTATTAGATTTGCTAATATTTTTTGAGGATTTTTGCATCTAAGTTTATGGGAGATAATGGTCTACAGTTTTCTTTTTTATATATATTGTATTAGTCTGATTTGGGTGTCAGGTCAGTACTTATCACATAAAGTAAATTGGGAAGTGTTGCCTCCTCTTTTCTTGAAGGATTTATGTAAAATCGGTGTTAATTCTTTAAATATTTAATAAAATTGTCCAGTGGAAGCATCTGGGCTTGGAGAATTCTTTTTCAGGAACTTTGAAACTACAAATTAAACTTCTTTCATGATTACAGAACTATTCAGTTTATCAGTTAAATTTTGGTGGTTTGTAGTTTTCTAGGAACTAGTCCATTTCTTCTAGGTGGTTGAATTTATAAGCATTATGGACAATAT